GGAAACCAGGCACTGCTCATCACCTGCAGAGTACCAGCCCAAAAGTAAAGTGTGCTGGTAGCAGCCTCATGCTGTGGGGCTGTTTTTCAGCGGCAGGGACTGAGGGACTCGTCAGAGTAGAAGGAACGCTCAGTGCAGCAAGCTGGTCCACCAATGTGATTGCGCGAATGCTCCGTTACCTCCCCCTCCTGTAATCACATGCCGGATCCGTTACCCCGCTTTGTTCCGGGACCTCGCAATTTACAAATTAAGCACTGGTTAAGGCTATGGATACTTATGCAATGTACTTATTTCAGTTTTTTTATTTTTAATAAATTTACGAAGTTGTGACAATTCTGTTTTTGCTTTGTCAGTATGGTGTATGGAGTGTAGATTGGTGTGGAAAAAAGGTAATTTAAAGCAGTTTAACATCATGCAGCAACATGAAATGAAAAAAAAAAATGAAGGGGTATGAATACTTTCACAAGGCACTGTACATGTAAACCACAAACTATCACGGTGTATCTAAAAACAATATCGTTAGTAGGACATAAATTGTACTTTAATCTCTACGGCACGTTTCCGATCAAGTCAAATGACGTCACCTTTATCTTTATAGCTCTTTATACAGTAGCCTACTGATTAAATAATAATAATAACAATACTAATACATTAATATAATATATAAATAACATAAATAAAAATAATATTTCAATTATGCAAACATAATTCAATTTTGCTTTAAAACAGCTCTAAAAAGAAACGGAGTGTAGGCCTGTTTACTTTAAAGGACAAATAGACCAATTTGTTGGCAGAGGCTATTTACATTAACTCCGCCCACCAATGCCTGGCTGCGATAAACAGCACTGCAAAACACACTTGATTTTCTGTAGTATCAGTGGAGCAGCGAGTAAAAGACACGCGACGTGTGCTTTTGACGCGATTGACCCGCATTCGAATCTGCCTTTTGTCAAACTCGTGCCTTTTCCCATCATATACCAGATCAGAAAGGCATTTATTTTCAATAAAAATAAAGTAAATATTTGAAAAGTGGAAATAAAACGCTTCATTAATAATAAAGTGTTGGGATGCTTAGCTGTGTAGGTGTAGGGAGGCTTTTGTCCCAAAAAAGTGGGATTCATCAATTTACACTCAGTATGTAATTGCATTGTTTTTATAATGTACTGCAGTACTGAAGTAGGGCTGAAACGTTTCCTCGAGTAACTCGAATACAAAAAAATCATTGAGGCAAATCATGTGCCTCGAAGAATTGTTTAGTCCATTTACTATAGGGATGCACTGAATTTTCGGCCACCGAAAATATATGCCGCGCCGCACTGCCCAGCAGTGTTCAGGTTTCACTCTCCCTCTAGCCGTCAAAAGATAGTGAGAGCTGATGTTGGGAAATATAGATACATTTGTGTTAAAATATTAGCTCTCTAACAGCTTTAGCCAAAACTAAGTTTTGGCTCCCTGAAACTAATGGACTAGATAATTGGTAAATCTGATAAAAGACAGACAAATTCATCTACAATGCCTTGGAGAGAAAAAAATAAACCTGTTAATCTTAAAAAATATAGCATATACATAAACCCAAATAGGAAATAAAACAGTTATTGAATAAGCATGTCTCCTGAAACATTGGTGTCTCATATTTTAGAGCAGTCATTTTCTTCAATCATATAATTATTATAACACCTAAAATAAGTTGCGTGTAAAAAGTGTTTGTTTCAGCCAGTTGAAGAGTGGGTATTGTGTGCACATGATCAGGATGGTACTACCTCCGCCTCATTTTGAGCCAGGAAAAACCCTA